AAAAAGAACCAATGACAGCAACCCAAATATTAACAAACAAACTCGCATTAAAATGTTGCGGGGTTTTCTCTGCTTTAATATTCAAAATAGAAGCAATGTGTAAATGCCTGTGTTAAAACTCCAAAAAAACAAGCAACGCAGTCAGTAATTACCAAATTATAAGTGCTCATTTTCAACTAAAATCGGAACAGGCAAATTAAGACGAATTTCAACAGAAAACCAGTCTCAAACTTCAAATCGTGAGGGAAGTCGTGCGACCACATCAGCATTTATAATGTTGCTTCGCTGTCGCCATTGTTATAAATAAATTATCTCACTTATCAGATCGTGTGTGCAATTCTTGTTGGCGGCGGAAAGTACGAAATTTATTTCAGTTATTTCATTTGGTGAGAACTCTACAAAAGAAGAGAGCGTTCAGAGTCCAGATCGTTTCGTTTCAAACGGCAATTTAATACTGTCTTCTGTTTTGCTCTCTCAGCGAAGCCTTGTAAATCGCAAAGTATTTTGAATAGGCTTACATGCAACTACATCTCAACATCAACCAACAGATAATTTTCTTGAGGAACATATAACGTATCAAGTCTGTTTGAAATTAATGAAACTCAAGTAAAGGTTACTATAGTTTTATACCCCATTCGTAATAAATGTTGCTATTCCAACACCTCACGACAAGCAATCCTCATTGGCATAACGGCAAAAACATCTCTTCCTTCAAGTAAACAATAAACAGTCTGTTCTTGTTCCATTTGTAATCGAAAAAAGTGATCAATTTTCGAATTTTAAGCTTATCGAGAGCCTTTGTCTATGCCTTTGTGATGAATCACTGACCTAATTATAGAATCCAACAGCAATCAGCCAATCAGAATGCCGCGTTCGTGGGCGAACGCGGAAAGTACAAAATACCGGGCCTTGCTCGCAGGCCCACTATCAGTTCCCTTGGGCCTGCACGCGGGCTATTTGTTTCGTTTCCTTTCCTTTTCTTTCCTTTCCTTTTGGTTTGTTGGTTTGTTTGCTTGTTTGCCCGTTTGCCCGCTTTTTTGCTTGTTTGCTTTTTTGCTTGTTTGCTTGTTTGCTTGTTTGCTTGTTTGCTTGTTTGCTTGTATATGTTAATTATACATGGTTCCAAGGAAGAGCAGGAAACTCCCGCAACTTACTTTTGAAATGGAAATGGAAATGGATAATTTTCATTTGTCGTTCAAACTTTGCCTTCAGCATCACTTACAAACAGTTCTTTAATAAACGTCATAGCAACTTGATCGCTTCTCACACGAAATATGTTATAGGCAGCGATGGAAGGGAAACACTTAACTTATGATAATAACCTTTCGGTCAATCAAAATAACAAAAATACAAACAAATATAGGTCTTGTAAGTTGTAGCTATAAATAATGTTTCAACGCAAGCGTGTCTATTTCTGTATGCTTAACGACTGTAAAATAAACTCAGGGCCGGAACTACTGGGGGAGGGGGGCGGGGGCAGTGTAACACCCCACTCCCCAAAGAAAAGTAAAAAAAGGGGGCCCAACTTCACCAGAGGGGATCCTGGAATGCTGGAATTGCGAAACGTGTTAAATATTAGAAAATATTGTAAAAAATTGAGTTCGAAAAAGGTCTGAAAAACTATTTTTTATCCCCCCCCCATTATCGCAAAATGGTTTTTGAGGGCCCCCCCCCGAAAGGAAAGGGGCCAAAATGTTTGAGTTCACCCCCCAACCAGATATCACTTGGCACGTCCCTGATTAATCTGACAGTTCATATAGTTTGGGAATATAATTGTGTACTCGGAGATTTAATACGAGTAAATATCCTATACGAATCTATCCCATGGGGCGCTGAAGGGGGGACGGGGGTTTCAATGTTTTTTTCCATACTTTTATACACAGTGAGCGGAAGTTGAAAATTACACATGTACTTTCAAATCTAAGTTGTAAAATCAACTTACTGTATATATACCCCGTCGCGTGTGACCTTTTTATTATATGGAATGCTATGCCATAGTAGCCGGTGTACAATGAATCTCAGGGCAACCGAAAACGCAGATGGAGTCGTAGGATATTTATTCGTACTAACTTTTCAAGTGCACAAAATTCTCTGAGTGTCAGTTTAACTTACAGTCGTTAAACATGCAGAAATAGCCAAATAGGCAAACAGACACACATGCGTTGAAATATTATTTATATTAGAACTTACAATGCCTACATTTGTTTGTATTTTAGTGATGTTGCCATACGCTAAAGGTTTTCCTTCCAACGCTGCTCATAGCAACTTATCGTGAGAAACGATCAAGTTGCTATAGGCAAACTTTGAACAATTCATGAAAATTATCCTTTTCAACTTCAAAAGTAACTATTAAGTTACACTATTAATACTGACCGATCGCAGCTGGCCAAAGGTCGTGTTTTCAACAACAAACAAAGATAGGCCATTTATTCTCAACGAATGACAATTTTAGGTTGGATTTCTTCTTTGCGGGCAAGTATGTATTACTTTGAGGCAGATTTCAGCCCGTAATTATAAGCTATCGGCAAGTCAGAATATGAAAGGCATGTTTTACGCAATAGCTTTTCCAGCAATAATTTCTCACACCCCGGTAAATGGTTTTCGAATTTTTAACAAATTTAGAATTTGTGGTGTTCTAGTGTTCCGTTTTCAGGGATAATGCTGTCCCGATGTTCCGTGTTCCGCTGTTTCCGGGTTTACTAATAGCCGCAGTATTTTAGTCAAAAAATAACGTAAGGATAGAACCATGCTACTTTACGATGGAATGTCTAGATATTGTTGGTCATTTTATATCAACAGTACCAATTTTTTGATTACGAAAGTAAAAAAACTGAAAATAAAGACAAACAACATTTACCTTGAATACTGCGTCGTGGCACAGCCAGGTTTAAAAGACAACAAAGCCATTTTGAATCTCAATATAGCTACTTCAATGCAAAAATATATAGGTAAATTAAAGAAAAACGCAGTAAACTTTGCTATATTGTTTTCGTGACATCACGAATTTCAAATACGTCACGGTTGCTGGCATCAACTGTTTCCTATCCATTCTTTTAATAACTATCCATGCTGTAACTTAGTCACCAAACTATTTTATTTTAAATTCAGCAAAGTGTTGATGAGATGAGGCATCAGTTTGAAAAAATGATGGAAATGTTTAACCAAGCATTCCAAGAAAGAAATGTGAACAACAATCGTGCTCAGGCTGTAGATCGTGCAATTCCAGCCAACAACCGAGATATTATTATCCTTGGAGGTTGGTATGGGCCAGGAAACAACGAGATATCAAATACAGTTGAAAATTTTAACATAGTCGAAGGGAAGTCAATTTACCTACCATCACTGAACTATCCGCGAACAGAATCAGCATCATGTGTTTCCAACGATGTCGTCTTCATCGCTGGCGGTTATGATGGTCAAGCAGGTACTGACACTATTGAGGTTTTGAAGATGAACCAGCATCCTTTGCGATGGATGATGTTTGAGGGTAAGTTGCCTGTAAAGTTATTTGCTCATGTTGCCATTGCTCATAAAGGAAAATTATTCATTATTGGTGGAGATGCCCATAAAGAAGAACGGAAAATATCCTATGGCATTTACGAAGTTTGCCTTACCCCACCATATATTTCCAAGCTGCTGGCAAGAATGCCTCGACCAAGAAGAAATCACAGCGCAGAGCTTGTTAATGACAAGCTATTTATCATGGGAGGAACGACCACAGGCTTTAATGAAGATGCCATTGACAGCGTTGTTGCTTATGATTTGATCAAGAATGAGTTCAAGCCCTGTACACCGCTACTCCAGCCTATCCATAGAATGTCCACTGTTAGTTGGGGTAATATGGTTATCCTTATTGGCGGGTCGGATAAGTATGGCCGCAGTTTAAATGACGTAATTATGTATGACACTGAGACTGGGCAAAGTGAAAGATTACCCTCACTGAAGCGGAAGAGGCGTGGTTGCTTTGCAGTTATGATAGATGACCTCATTGTTGTAATGGGAGGAAAGAATGACAAGCAAGGATGTCTCAACTCAGTGGAAAGTTACACAATGGGAAGCGATCAGTGGAGAGAACTGCCAGGAATGACTGAGAAAAGACGATATGCAACCGCCGTTCTAAATCCTTGCAACTGAAACGTTCTTCCTATGTAAGCTTCATATCCTGTAGATAAAAAATGTGCACAGAAAAGAAAATAAGTAACATAAAATTTTACGGAAGTCTAACCATAAAACACTGGCCTTGATTTCCAACCTTTAGGGTTCAGTTACTTTAAGGCAGGGTCTTGTTTAACTATATAATTGGAGGGGCCGACGTCCCCCTCCCACTCAACCTTATTCCCCAGTCTCTAAAATATAAGCAAAACATTGGAAGAAAAATGAAACTTTCTTTGTGAAAGTTGCTTTGTGAATCTTGTGTCCTGCCTCTTATCTTCAAATGATTCAGATGATTTTCTTTTTAAATGCTAAACATTGTGTTGTAAATACCTTAGATTTTAAAAAATTCCAAGTGGATTCCAGACAACGTGATTTATCCCTTTCATATTTAGCATCTACAGGGCATGAAATACACTCTTTCGATAATTACGGCACAACTACACTGTTTTCAACTTAGGACCACCTTAAATTGGAACGATTTCAAGTTTTTTTCTCATGGGCTATGCACAGAGAAGTAGAACATCCTTCTTCAACGCGTGCATGAAAAAAATTTGGAATTTTGATCAAGAGATATGGAAATAAGCATTAACACGAAAATGAAGCTCCAGGTCATGCCTCGTTTTCGTGTTAAAGTTTATTTCCACATTTAGGGAAAGTACACTTATTACGACGAGGGGGGGGATGAAGATGCCTGGAAAAAACTCATATTTTACAGGGCCCCTGTTGAGGTTATTGGTAAATTTTCGATGCCCCCCCCTCCACGTTTTTAAAATTTTCAACGCCCCCCTCCTCCTCCAGAATTCGGAATTGAAGGAGTACAATCCGGAATTCTCTCTTATCATAGCTAGATACAATTTGAAGTTCCTCAAGATGTCTGATATACTCAAGCATGTGCTACTCCTCAACAAAAATACCGATCTGCTACTTCTTTCACCTCACTAGCGCCAGATGAAATGGCACCGTCTTTAAAAAAACATTGATGCATGTGTTGAAGAAGGATATTCTGCTTCTCTGTGCATAGCCCATGAGAAAAAACCTTGAAATCCTTTCCATTTAAGGTGGTCCTAAGTTGAAAACAGTGTAGCTGTGACGTAATTATCGAAAGAGTGTATTTTAACTATCATCAATGACCTACACTTGGATTAATCCACTTTACTGTGGAACATATTGTGACTCCACTTTAAGTTTTGTTTTTCAGTTAGAAACAAACCATCTATTTCCAGTAAAACAACCGCATCATGCAAATTATCATGATATAGCCTAGTACGAAATGCCTTCGCTCAACACGTCGAGAAGTGTTTACGTTTAGATTGAGTACGTGCTATATTCATATTTGTAACTCATTATTCGCTAATAACTGGATAGTAAAACTGATTGTACACGAGTTTCAGTTTTAAAACGACAAAATGGTCACCTCTTCTATACTAATTCGTATGTTTGACCCATACGCAATGGCCTTCCCTTTTTGGAAATATTTCATTTGAAAGATATGGCAACCCGATAGTTAAGTTCAGCTATTTCGGTTGTACATTTATTCAGATCGGGTGTCTCCTCCTGCGGCCAAATAATAATTCATTGCTCACATTTTAATCTACACATAGGCCACTATTGACAACGTTTAAACACAGCCATTTTCTTATACAAATTTTAAGTCTGTCAATTGCGAGTCTATTTGGGATGTGAAACAATAAGCAATATTGTTCAAGATCTAGTCTTCCACGTTCTTGATATAGATTACTTTATAAAGCCTTGATTATGTCACCAAACGGCGTTTTAAAAATATCTCAAAATAAAATCGCTCGACAGTTTGACCGTACGGAGTTGACATAAAAGTTGAAGCACTTCAACAAAAAGTTGAAGCTCTTGGCCCCTCGGAGAGATAGCCGATCTGCAGCTGAATCAATAAATATGCTACCAAAACTTTAGGTAATGACTGCTTTATTGATCACGAGGTGACGAGATCAGCACTGCAGTTGCCGAGGTCTCAGATTGCCATAATTTCGAGTTAAATATTTTCACCATATATATTCGGTTAGGAATTAAGAAAAAACAATTAAAAAGGCTATTGTGTAGGGATTATATACTCAAATTAGTATATAAACGGTGGTCATTTGGTCGCTAGTTACTGGTAATGGCATAGATGGATTTTCGAACGGAACTTAATCTTTATATACATGCATTCTTAGATCTAACCCAAGTGAAGGAGCGTAATAGTACAATCTGCAGACATGCATGTTTCGGCGTTCAACGCCTCGTCGGTACATTCTTAGATCTAACCAGGAGCAGTTGTGAAAAATGCAACGATAGGCCTTCTGGTAGGAATCGAACCAGTGGTCCTGTGACCTGGTGCAGCGCTCTAATTGACTGCCACCGAGTCCAGTTGCGGCCGAGTGTTAACCATATATAATATATACATAAAGCATCACGGGAGCATCATTTAAGGGTCAGACCACTAGAAAAGTGATGGGGGGGAGGGGGGGAGTATGGTGTCCGAGGAGAGACATTGCGTTTTTCTTATTTTTTTTTATATATATATTTATATTTATTTAGTTGGGTTTTTTTTTATTTTATGCTTATTTCATTTCATTTCAAATTTAATTTTTAAAATGAAAAATTCGCATGTCCGAGAAGAGACATGGCGAAATAACGCTGACAACTTGTACATGATTCGCGGGCGCTTTCATAAATTCAAGAAATATGAAGCTGAAACGGCTTTAAAAAGACGAAGAAAGACAGAGAAGAAGAGCGGAAACAAGAACAAAGATAGGTTGTTGCCTTAACGTCTTACAATACAGCGTTTGTCTGCACAGGTCAAAGGCTCGTCGCAGAAATATGCCAGGATGGGTCCACTTTATAAGAGAGTGGATGTTGCAGATGAAGATTTAAGTAAACCACCATCTATCGACATTGTACGTCGTGCCTGTATTACTGGTTTTAAAATGGATGTATTTTCCTGTGACCTTTTTAGAAACAGAAAGAGGACCATCTCTCGAATGTCTTGACGAAGTGAAAAACCTCAATGGTACGATTTTTGTAAGGTTTATTTTCAAGGTATCATCTGGGAGTGGGACAAGATATTCTCTTTGTTTCATATAGATGGTCAAAATACCACCTGCCAACAAGCTCTGGATTGGAGTTTGATGTCCATACTTTAAGGAACATCACTTCTCTCTGTGTCATAGCATCCATATATAGCTAGTGGGAAAGTCCAGTTCTGGAATCCCATCAACTTATCATGACCGTCTAGACTCCATGTCCAATTGACTCCATGAGTTATGAACTGTCCTCTCTTTCTATTGCCCTTGTTACGTGGTTCTCTTTGTTCCAATTAAGGTATCAGGGTCGAGGTCGTACATGACAGCGTTGACCAAGTCTCTAGAAACTTGAATGTCGTGCACCATGCGCAATTTTTTCGTCATGGTCCTAACACCTAAGAGCCTGCCAGGACCTTTCAATTCTTCACTGACCACATTTCGTACATCTTCTACAGGAGTATCATATTTGATATAGTTTATGTCAAAATGCCGTAGTGTACGGTCCAATGTTTTAATACAGCCCCAGGTATATTGGGAAAAGTCTTTTTTTATTTCGTGTAGAATCGGTTCGTTGATATCCTTTCTTCACCAAACTTTCAAGTCGAACTTTCAGATCGGAATCGCTTTTCCACATGTCAGCCATGTTTGATATTTTGGCGGGAAGCAAATGCGCCCGCGAATCATGTACAGGTTGTCAGCGTTATTTCGCCATGTCTCTTCTCGGACATGCGAATTTTTCATTTTAAAAATTAAATTTGAAATGAAATGAAATAAGCATAAAATCAAAACAAAAAAAACTAAATTTAAAATGAAAAATTAAAATATTAAAATGAATAAATATAAAAATATATATAAACAAAAAACAATAAGAAAAACGCAATGTCTCTCCTCGGACACCATAGGGAAGCAAAAATAAAAATCGAGCAGGGGAAACAGAAAGAAAAAAATTCGTGCACTAAAAAAGTTTGAAAAAAAAAATTCGTGCAGAGACTTTTCAATTAGGACAATTATAAGTAGAAATAAAAAAAATTCGTGCAAGGGAGTATATTTAAAATTAAAATTATCGACACAAGCAAACAATTTAAAAAAAATATTCGTACGAGTTGAAAAAATCAAGGTCATATATAATATAAGGTGGTGTATATGTAAAAGATAAGGTGATATGTAATATGAGGTGGTGTATATATGTATTTAGTATTTTTGCACAAGTGAACATAACAAATCCTACAAGTTGATTGGTCAAATTTGACGTATTAATCTGTTATATTCACCTACAGTTGCATATAACAAAACCGAAATTTACAAAATGGCGGCTAGCCGTTTTGTGGAAGTTACTGTTAAAGAAATAAAGCGAAATTGAAAATCAGTTAAAAAAACACACAAAAAACTTGTGTAAAATACTAAAACAACTATTCGCCTCATTCAGGCTCGGTGATTATCGGGGATATTCACCTCGACTTCGTCTCGGCGAATATTCCCCGATAATCACCTCGCCTTCGGCGAATAATTGTTAAATATTATTCATATGTAATATATTATGCTAAGGTGATGCCAGTAGAAGGAATATGGGAATAAATATCGAGATTTGGGGGCATTTCGTAGGTGCAGGCTTTTTAAACCCCACCTCTAATTCCAGCTTCACAAAACCCATCTCTATAAACTTTATCGAACAAGATGCCAGTTGTACCCATATTACCCATATATTAGTGACATTACCTTTGTCTATACATGAACATATGGGTAATTCTCGGCAACTGCATGTACTCTGTAGCTCAGTTAGTTGGAGATCTGCACCTGAATTACATGCAAAGCCGCAGATTCGATTTTTGCCATGCAGAGAGCTGTTGTATATTTCGCAATTGCTCCTTGTGTACGAAAATTCAATCCATTCGAAAATTCTATATTAAAACCCATGACTTAATATATAAGTTCTATCAGACGTATCGAACAATTAAGATGCGCAAATTAAAATCTCAAGTAGTAAAATTATATTTCATGCCCTGTATGGGTTAGATATGATTTGTATAGTTATTGTGTAAATATTGTACATATAAATATAATTTCAAAATTTGAGATATAACCTCTAGAATCATTCGCCATAATATCTTGTAAAAAGCTAGCTTAATATACATTGTTATAACTTTTGTTGAAACAATTCGAAACACTTTGCATGGTCTGAATATTAACATTAACACCGAGTTAAATTTAAAATAAGTCTATATAAGTATAGTGACAATAAAGATTGATATTTTGTTGGTTTTGATGGCAATCAATACACATGATTATATTGTATTAATAATTTTTTGGAAAACACCGTGTATATTTATTAGCTATCACAAAGCTTTCATTAATTTCCGTATTGCAGTCCAGATCATCATCGCTGCCAATCAAAGAATATTAAACCATCATCATTAGGCTACTATTCCCAACAACCCAATAATGTACCCCACGATTGCTAGTCAAGGGGGACAAAAAAGTCATAGGTGGGGTTTGTTCGAATATAGTTTGTTTCTTGTGTGAATTAAATGTATTTGGACTCACAGGCTATCTTTAATTTACATAATATAGTACAATGAACTTTTAGGGGGATCAGGGTGTATATGCTACGATATAGGTTTCCGATTTCAGGGGGCTATTTTATCATGTTTTGGTGATTTCAAATAATTGGGAAGGCTCCACCTTTGGCTAGGTTAGTCAATGTAATTGAAACTTAAATAGCTAAGTATAACAAATACGTATACATCATCCAGTCCATCGTCTATTCATGTACTTGCTACCATTAATTTAAAGAATATTGACATTCCAAACTGTTCAGTTTAAATGTGAAGTTACTGATTGTGAACACAGCATATTATATTAATCTTAAACTAGACCTTACAGACACGGGGATGTCTTGCATGGGTTCAATAAACGTGAAGGGCATCAGGATAGTCGTCAGAATTAAGGGTTTTTACTAGCCCTCGGGTTAACAGGGGAAGTTTTCCAGCACCTTTTGGTGAATCTACTTTCAATTGATAACCAACTAGAGGAAACAAGCGGATGCATGCTTTCGGCGAAATAAACAAATATTAGAGATAATTATATATCTAATAATATACATAAAAATGCTACTCGACTGTGATTGGTTGATTTCAGTGCAGTTAATCTCAAACAGCAGTGCAAAAATATGTAACAACAGTGCAAAAATCTGTAAGAACAGTGCAAAAACTGTAATAAACTTAATATACGATTGGTGGAAAAACAACCGGATTTAAAATCGACCAATCAGCTTAAAGCAGTCCTCAAGTAACGGGAGACTGCTTCAAAACAAAACAAACATAGCGGTCACGTTACATAAAGTAAAGTTGAGTTCGGGTAAAAAATATGGCTTTATCTTTTCTTAAATGGAAAAAACCTGACCTTAAACAATACTAATAAAACTTACATAGTTGAATGAAATGTTCAAGCCGTTTGCGTTGTATAATGTGATATAACAAAGCAGGAAAACTTTGTCAGTTGACGCACGGGCGCAAATGAGGGAGGTTTGTGTGTGACAGAGAAAATGGTCATGGAGATAATTTATCAAACAAAGTCATGCCGGCATACTCGTTATAAAGTGACCTGTGCTCGCTGCAAAAAGAAATTTGACAACGATCATAAAGCGCAACATTGCAAGAGTTTTCATACAAAATACACAGCAAAGACACGTCTACCAATGATTGTACAAAAATCAGACAACAGTACGTATGTATCCCCTATTTTTTTTATTTCTACCGCCTTGCCGGTTAGCCAATTGCGTGCCTATATTATATAGTATTACTGTATATATAATCAGTGGCGTAGCTGGTTGAAAAAAAATGTCCATCCCCCCCCCCCCGAGAAAATTTTGAAATCTAGAACCTTGGAAATGGCATTTCCTGCAATTTTGAGGGTGGAAGGATGTCACCAAACAAAGTTCCAATACACTTCTAACAGGAGTATTTTGCCTTGGTAGAATACAAAAAAATGCCATCTGGCTCAGAGAAGATCTGTGTCGGCTCAGAGAAGTGTTGTGTTAGGCAAAAATATTGCCTGTGCAGCCCAATAAAAAACTCATCACTGCGCCTCGTATAATGTCTCAACTAATATGATTGTACAAATATTTATAAAACAGCCTTTTAAAAACACGGGCGCTGATTGGTCAAAAGCTAAAAAAACCTGTGTTTTTATAATTAACTCGATAGAAACTCGGGGAATTTTCACGCGGGTTGTGTGGATTCGAGTTTAAAAGACAAAATACAAACAATATTCAATTTTGAAAAAAAGTTGAAAAACGTCCCGAAACTCCGAAGAACCGTTATAAAAAAAGGCAACACTTTGCTAACTTAGAAAGCGAAGACCCAAAGCACAAAATATAATAACACACGTTGTATCTGTTTGACTGTTTACCGAGGTAAGATGTTTTAATTTTAATACTTTGTCTTTTTAAAAAAGTATTTCCTCGCCACGTTTTTAATCATGTTTTAGTGTTTACTACAGTTTTTAATCCTGTTTAAACGTTCACTAACTATTTAAAACAGTGCTTTATTTGCATGCAAGCATGTACGTTGTTCGGTGAATTATGTAGTTAGTGAAGTAAGCCGCATGTTAAGTGCTGTCTATTGTTTTGACAGCGGTATACTTGTTTACTTCGCTATGCTATATATAATATAATTACTCTTTACACGAACGTATATTAAGGTGGAATTAATATTTGAATGAAAGCAATTAAAATCAATAAATTTATCTTTTCTATTGTTTTTAAAAGGCTATTTAATAAAGGAAACTTGTGAAACTTTGGGAGAAACTCGAAATTGCGTGGAAACACTCGCACTTCGTGCTCGTGTTCCCACGCAATTTCTCGTTTCTCCCAAACTTTCACGCGTGTTACTATAACTCTATAGAAACACGGAAAATGTTTTCTATTTCTTAAATATACTTGTTTATCATTCTATACATGTAAATCATCCAATGTTATTTTATCAATTTATGTTAATGTTCTTTCCGTATACCAATCACCTCTTGTCTCATGGCCTCAATCTATTGTCGGTTCAACCTGCAGGCTTCAGTTTCGGTCAATATTTCGTCGATGACAGGAAGATTTCATATTTATTTTCAGCTAGCGGTTTTCAGTAATGCCGAACCGCGAATAAAGATGCCACAACGTCAAAGGCATATGAGACAAGAACACTACAATTAGACGATGTTATAGTCGAAACCGGTGAATCAGATGGAACTATTGAGCAAGAAGCAATACCTGAGTGTTTAGAGTGAGATGAAGATAAGGAAGATAAGTCAGCGGGTGAAGAATCTATTAACTTGCAACTTAAAGCAAGCTCCAAATCGGTATTTTTCAAATAACATTTTTTAATAGTGTTTTGAAGAAACAATATTTCTCGAGTTGTAAATCCACACAAAACAATGATATGGCACATTCTTGCTGTTTATTTGTTGATTTCCACCTAGCTAGAAAGTTTTGAAAATTAATATTCTTTTTCGCGTAGGCACATGTTGATCGTAAAAGAACTGCAGATGACATGCTCTCTGATAAACCAGAAGGGCAGTCAGCCAGCAAGGAAGAGAAAGTAACCTTGATTGCAACAACAATCTGATTCAGTAAGTTTTTCCTTAGTTTATAAAAAATTTGTTAATTTATAATTTATAATTAATTTTTTTACATTATAAACATCGTTATATTTTTACATGGAGCGCCTGCTGACTGAATGGCCCAATGTAAATAATGGATTAATGAATAATAGCATGACATGATACGGTAATAGTTATGTCAGTCTTGTGAGAATTAGGCATTGATTTTTAAACAAGATAAAATCTTGTTAAATAGTTCCATCCAGAGAAGAAGACTTGGCAGTGTCACCAAACAACTCTGAGATTGGGAACAAGAAGATGATTCTCAAATTTCGCGGATTTCCTGTTTTGGGCAGTTGAAGTATTTATGTGGACATCTTTCAATGTGCGAAAGGGTTCTCGAGAAAGTTTCTAAAACAGACGCTCCCCAATCTTGTGTTCTCTTGGAAGAATTAGTTAGTGTAACCGAAAAGGTAAAAGCAACATCATCTGCTCTTCTATTTGATGCAAAGAAAACCCTTGACAAAGGAAAGCCTTGTCCAAGCATTTATGCAGCCGAAGTCAACGAGTTTGTCCCTATCAGTAAAGAACCTGGGAGTAGACGGAGAATTCTTACAGACCAAGACAGAGAATTTATGATCAATTTAGGCCCATTTCAACATATCCTCGAAATAACGAAATTTCACAGTCCAAGCATTGTAGATTCTCTTCTGAGTGTTTTGACGAATTTCCGCATTTGGAGTATTCTGTTGTCAAGGATGCTGCATTTTTGTTTTGTTTGTCATCTTTTCCCGACAGGAGCAGGTCATGAAAAGTCAAATGATGTTTGGATTGGGGAAGGTGTTCGCCAATGGCATAAAATGAAAAGCAGAGGAAAGTCCAAGCAAGGAAAGTTGCCCGGTCATTTTGGAAGCAATAGTCACAAGGCATCGTTCGAAGCACTGGTAGCATTCCAGCAAATATTTCAACACATTAACAGCATATGGATAAAGCGCACATGACGCTGTGCATTGAAGCTGAAGCAGAGAAGAAGAAAAATCGAGAAGCTGTTAAGATTCTTATTGATATTGTGCGCTTCCTGGTCAGTCAGGGATTAGCTCTACGAGGGCATGGAGCTGAGAGTGATGCCAATGGTAATTTTCATCAGCTGGTTCTTTTAGTTGCAAGGCATTCTCCAACGTTGAATTAAAGTGTTTTTAGACGAAGCAGAAAAACGTCCACAACGTGCAACATATCTCAACTGGAAATTACAAAACGAATTTTAAAAGGTCTTGTCTGAATATGTAAATAAGGAAATTAAATCAGAAGTTGAAACGACTGCTCAGTTTTTTTCAGCTATGGCAGACAGTGCCAGACACTGCTCCAGATACTTCACATCTAGATCAACTGTCCGTAGTTTTAAGATATGTTACCCCTTCTTGCGTTGTTCGTGATCGACTGGTTGACATTCGGGATATTGACAGCAAAACAGGTGACGGGCAAGCGACGGCCATTCTCGAATCTCTCCGCAGCAAAGAATTCAACACGGAGTCCATCGTTTTTCAATCTTATGATTACACATATTCAACGTCAGGGAAATTCAAAGGATGCCAAGCAAAGATGACAGAATACTATACCTTGGAAATGATTTATGTTTTTTTCACATCGATCCAGCACCAAGCGCTACATGGTTTTTCGTCAGGAAGTGAAGGATAAAGATATAGAGGGGCACTTCACCTGAGGAATCTTTCTATCCGGCACTCGCGGGGTTGCTCGCTCAGAGTCAATTGTGGCAGTGTGGGCGAGTTTTGATGGCATAATTTCTGCTTTGGATAAAGAAGCGGAATCAGAAGATGCCAAGGCAAGGGTTAAAGCTAAGATTCTACTTGCAGCTGTCAAATGTTTCGAATTGATCCTGGCCTTAATGTTCATGAGAAATGTTATGTCTAAAACGAAGATTTTAACGAAGCAAGTTCAAGCCATTGAATTGAATATTGGCATATATTGCTGATGCTTTGGAAGCTCTTGATGCCACGATCAACACGTTGAAGTATTTAGTGATGTTCTTTGAAAAACTCACTCGTGCATGTTTCATCCAAATTGTACTCCATCATATTACCTATACTAAACGTTTTCATGGCAAAGAGCCAACTATGGAGTATAGTTATATCAACTCAATACTGCACCAAATAAGGAGTTTAGACATAATTATGTTTAACAGGGAGACGTTATACTGTTGATATGAATAGGTAATATATATAACGCCATGCAAATGACGATTTAAGGCAACCAAAAACGGTATTGTCAGTATACAATGTTTTTGATACATTATTCGATTTTGAAAGCACTCTTTGAACACTGTAACAGAGGAAAAATTTTTTATATGCATCGTTTTCTAACTGTAGCTTACTATATTAGCTCTGTAAATTGACTCAATTAACGAGGATAAAAACATTTCAGTGCTGATTAGAATCTTTTAGAATCTTTATTTTAAATTAACAAGAAATAGCTGCATGCATGCTCTCATGCATCAACTAATTAAGATATTACATTATACAGCAACTATATATTTACTAATTTACAAGCATATACATGTATTAATGCCTTGAAAAAAAAATCACATTATTCAGTCACAAACTAACCGTTAAAATTAAAGTTCTCGTTGACGTTGGAATCCTGAATAGTAGCTACACCTTTTTGTGCATCAAAACACATGGAACCGCTTAATTAAAACTTTTATTGTTTTGTATGTTCGCTTCTTTGTATTTGAAATACACTTCGGCTTTCTCCACCGACCATGTGAATACATTGATAGTTAAGAGCAAAGAGATTTTAGAATCTTAAAGGCTTCTTTTCTGAGCAATGTCTTCGTCCAAAAGAATATCACAGAATTGATGCTTGAATTTAAAATGACCGTTGTAATTGACCAGTTACGATAAACAGTAAAATCAACAGTAGCGACGGTAAAGAAAGCTCGGGTCACAGCGAAAGGTAGCAAGAAAACAGCAAAACAGATAACAATAAGAAAGCAAGATCTTGCATTCCGGCTTTCGCGAGCAATTTTCTTTTTTATATTATTTTGATTTCCATGACTTTCGCTGGTTGGCCTTTTTTGGGAACGAATTATCTTTCGTATCACAAGATATATTCTTGTGTAAACTAATCCAGTGAGAAGTAAAAATACAAATATCAATGCCCTCCCACCAATCGTGATTATTTTGCGATCAAGGAATGAGCAAGCAAGTGCTGAAACTAGAACAAGTCCACTTCCACACACATAGATCAAAATTCGTTTCTTTGTCACTTTGGTTTCGTATTAATAAGGATGCAGCACTCCAATGTATCTCTCCATTGTCATTGCAGATAGTGTTGTCATTGACAATAAACAAGTTAGGTGTGCGTTTCGAAAGGCCAGAAGGAAGAAAGTGCAATTTGCAATATCCAGAAATGGAAACAATAAATAGTAGATGAAAATGGGTATACCTAGAACACCAACGCATAAATCGACAACGCATTGAAGTAGGATGACAAAGTAACAAATTTTGCCTCTAAGTTGAGAGGATCTTCTTATTGTTATTACTGAGATTCCGTTTAATGATATCGTTGAGAATAACAAGATGCAGTTAATAACAAGCATTGCAATTCGATAACTTTCATACTTTTCGTTCGGAAATTCGTTTAGAACCACATGAAAATTTTCGACGACTTTGCACGTTGTCAAAAAAATATGATTTTTTTCGCTGTCATTCATTTTAATTTGATATTTACGATGACAAACCGTAAGCCTGTTACCGAGACGCCTAACCGCGTTTTATATCGTAGCCTATAACACAGTGAACTCAGAAAGAATTGAAGTATTGACTATGAATAACAAGCTACAACTGAAGTTAGAGAAAAGGGATATTCACATGAAGACACTTATTGTTTTAGTAGTACGACAGATGTTTGGGTGTCATTAAGGTGTATTTACACATAATTAAGTGGTCATTTTTTCCATGTAAGTGGAAAATCCACCTTTATAAACATGCCGCGTGTTATTCAATATATTTGAATTTAAAGCTGTATAATTATTTAATTAAAACGCTAAAATACGTAGCACTATTAAACTGCTGACATAGAAAAAGTGTTAGAATATATTATCTTGCAAAAATGTTACATGCATGCAAAACAATTACTGCATGAACAGATTTTCAATAAAGGAATACCAAATAATGGTTTTCCGTGCAGGATGTTGCGAGACGTTCAGAAAGCTTAAAAACATAAGCCACATGCAACTATGCATGGCGATTTTTATTTAAATTAAATTATTAATGAAATGTGTACAAGTATATCGTAAACTAACCAGAGACAGAGTTATGAAGTTGTTCAATATATTGTTAATTCACACGTTAGATAAAATAACCTGGTTTACTAAATAAACCTGGTTTACTAAATAAACCTGGTTTACTAAATAAACCTGGTTTACTTCATAAGATTTATTCACTACAAATGCTTGCCACACTCATCAGGTGAATTTAAAAATTAATAAAAAAATTAATTAATTAATTAATTTTTTTTTAAATTGTTTTTTTAAATTCACCTGACGAGTGTGGCAAGCATTGCTTGTCATACGAAACAAGTTTATAGTGAATAAATCTTGTGAAGTAAACCAGGTTTATTTTATCTTTATCTATATTAGCCCTATACTTCGGTATATCGAGCACTCTACTCATATATGATTCTAAATACATATTTGGTATATATATATATATATATATATATATATATATATATATATATATATATATATATATATATATATATATATATATATATATATATATATATAACTATACTCACACTCCAGAAATTCAAAAACAGCAGTGACACTCAAAGGAAGCTCAGATTGAACCTCCACTCTTTGAGTGTGATTTTAGAATACAGGCGTTAGTGTCTTATAATGAAATATTAACGGAAATATACAAAATTACGATGATAAAACAATATAAGGTGTCTTCATGTAAATATTCCAGCAATTAATTAACAGTTTTAATCTTCAGTTATATGATATCGCTTTCCTTATTACTACCAAACCAAAATGACAAAGAAACGATTTTTGATCCATGTGCATGTCTTATATACACTAGATATAGCGCATCTCTTTTAGTAAAATTGAAGCCAAGAATATTCCAGCGGTTACACCCATTTGAATAGATGGCGGCTATATGTTGAAGTTTTCCACTCGCTAATAAACGCTTAAAAAACAACAATAACTTTCATGATTTGAACTGAGTTTGAAAATGTATTTGGAATAGGTTTAACTTAATGTTTAAGTTCCCCGTTTAAAAAATTGAAAACATACGAGTCTTCTTATTTCATGGAAATATCCTGAGTCTGCAATCACGGCTTCAATTTTTGAATTGCAGAATAATTAGATGCACTATCTAGTGTATATAAGATATCTATGGTCTGAAAGTGCACATGGTATTGCTCTATTTTCAGCACTTGCTTATTCATTCCACAATGACAGAATAGCCTGCATATTCGTCACGGCGGGATTGGCAGTTGTATTTTTCTTCTTTTACCGGATTCGTTTGCACAAGAATATATATTTTGTGATGCGAAAGCTAATTCGTTCCGAAAGGAGACGAATCTGCGAAAGTGATGGAAAAGAAATGATTCGCGAAAGCCGACATGCAAGATCTTGTTTTCTTATCGTTATCGATTTTGCTCTTTTCTTGCTATACCTTTATCGCTTGCCCCAGTCTTATTTGCTATCGGCACTTACGATTTCATTATGTATCGTAACAGGTCAAGCACATTAGTGTTTTTAAATTCCAGCGTCAATTCAGGATATTCTTTTGGACGAAGACGTTGCTCAAAAAAGAAGCAATAAAGATCCTTAATTAAATCTCTTTGCAACCATCGTAATAATCATATAGGCTAGAATGCAGAAAATGACAAAGTCTTCTTTTCAAACATTAATTTTGTTCCTTATCAGTTTGTTAATGTATGCTGTAAGCTACAAAAATAATAAAATGCAATTTCATGCAGTTAACAAAAGTTGTTAAAAAATAAATTGATATTCTTTTTGCCTTGTTTTCAGGCTCTGTTCTTGTTTTGTTAATTCGCACTGCAGTGAAATTGCACAATGTGCAATCGAGGAAATTTTCCATATATCTGTTATTACGCATGTAATATTTTGCAAGACATTTTTAAAGAAATGACCATCTGTCGTACCGCAATTATTTGGTCCCATGATCACACTTTCCGTTTCAAGATAATATATTGGACGAACCATGAGCGTGTAATAATTAATTTAACGTGGAAAAGAGGTATAAAAATCTATTGAACTAGCTGTTTTGCACAGTAACGTAGCGACTGGGGTGTGTAGGGGGATCCGGGAATGTAACACCCCACAATACTTACTCATGAGTAATTTCAGGCTGATTTGCAGGTAAATTATATAACAGCATTGGAAGTGGAAATGTAACAGCAGTGGAAGTTGAA